CTGTTAATGGCGGAAAAACAAAGGTTTGCCATTCATTTTTTGTCCTAATCATAAAGTGGTCTAGGCAGTTGTTAATTCTAGTTGGGTAAGAGATACCTTGCTCAAGACCATGGGTAGCTAGGATACATAGATATTCATTTGAAAAGTTATTAATTGTGTCAGCTTCAAGCGTATTGATATTAATATCACCTGTCAATATGACATTTTTATTAGAGATTTTACTCAATAAATTGTCTAAAGATAGCAGGTATTGTCGAGGATTCGCAAAGCACGGCGGACGGTACGAACAAATTATTGAATATCCATCAACATCTAGAACAAGACAGTTACCATCTGCTACTTCAGGTTCATAGTAATTGGCGGTTAATGTCTCTAAAACATAAACTACTATGCCATCGTTTTGGTTAAGTATTTTTTTGGTGTAAAAAACATTATAGTTATCTATATGAGGAGGGAACACATCCTTTTTTAACCAACATTCAGTTAAAACAATAATATCTAGTTTAGTGTCGAGCCCCGTAATAAAACTTAATAGCAAATCGAAGTTACAATTAATACTTCTTATGTTGCATGTAATTATGTTTATGTTTTCAGAGTTATTTTCATAATGTAGTAATCTTGAACAGTGTGTGATATCTTCTATAAGACGGCACTTGACTTTGTTTACATCTAAGTCTGATGTAATAGACGTTAGTGCGTTAATTGCATCGAATTTTAATTATAGTTAGCCGTTCTCGAGTTCAAATCATTGCCTGAATATTTTTTGTAGGCGCTTGTACAACACCTGCAGTTATTACAATAATATCCATAAAATGCAGTAATAGCAGAGGTATAATATAATATGTAGTATTTACTTGTGTAGTTAGGCTGTATACTATGATTACAATAAATATATATGTACCTATTAGATGGTCTATTGAGTAAAAGTAGTATAAACTGTGTAGTATTTATGTAGTAAATGTAGTGGTTTAGCACTGTGTTTTTGTGTGAAAAAATGTATGTAGCAAATAAATTACTTTTATGTAGTAGTAGCACGCAAACGTAAATAATACAAAAAAAGGCTTTTAAATATATCGAAACTAAAGTAAGACAAAATAATAAAACATAATTTGTAGTGAACACCAAAGTTATCATGCAAAATGGTTGTAGTATTAATTGGACACATTTAATACAAAAGAAATTTAAGGCATTAAATAAAACTATTATAAAACAAAAACAGCAAAATTTAGCAAGTATTAACAACATGCAGGTTAGGTATCCGTCGAGTCATAAATTATTTAGTTTTTGAAGATCACCTTCGCAGTCTATACGTATTTGCTTTGCACCTTCTTCCTTTCGTAAATATATGTTGCCGTAAGATACCCAGCAGAACATATACTTATGTTCT